AAAAATGTATGTATATATACACACATCCCATCATTTCTACATGTTATTTTTTTAGTGCTGGTTCTCTGCAAAGGTGGAGATAGGGAGGGGGGAAGAAGTCAGAATTGTTAGGAATCAGGGTAGTTTGAGAAGCCTCCTCTGGTGAATTCTGATGAACACCCAAATCCTGAGCAACTTTTCTCAAGTTTCCAGTTTTCAAAAGGAAAAAAATTAACTGTTTGACCATGAATTTTGCCTCCAAGTTACTGCTGATTTAATTACTTAAGCTGAATTAGTCAAAATCATCTTTGTTTTGAAAGATTGCCAGTTAAAGGAGGACCTCTTCCCTTTCAAGAGAAAAGCAGTGTGACTGGGTGCAAGGTGGGGTGGGGGAGGGAGGAGAGATGGGATGGGGGAGTGGGGGATGGAGTGGGGGCATGGAGTGGCAAACACAACCAAAAAGCAGAAGACAAAGTGGTGGGCCTAGCATGTGTGTGTCCTAAAACAAAACACAAGCACAAGGTGAAAGGGTGGGTGAAGACCAAGAAAAGAGGTACCAGTCAGATGGGGCAATCCACGCTCAGGCACTAAAACAATTAAAATGATCCTCCTATGTAAGACTGGTAGAGCCTTCTACTCAACCAGTACCCTGAAGGCCCACTGTGTTGAGCCACTGAGCTTCACTTTTGTTGAACACTCAAACATTTATGAAACATGCTAACGTGTGCTATGCATTGTCCAAAGAGTTCTTCCTGAAAGTTCTTGTTTAATCTTCATAACAACCCTGCACGGATGTCTCCACTGTTATTCCCATTTTACAGATGGGGAAACTAAGATTCAGGCAATATGAACAACTCACCTGATGTCACAAATCTCTTAATGACAGAAGGCAGATCTATACTCGGGTAATTTGATTCCAGAGCCGCTGTCCCTATCCAGATGCTGTATTGCAAATTAATGCTTTATTGGTAGAATCTGGGAAGGTTGAAGGGGTAGTATTGACATCATCCCTCATGCACAAACCCTACTGCAATCCTTATGCTACTCTTCAGGTTTCCCATAGTTTCATAAACTAAATGTACAGTTTCAATGTCTTCAACATGGTATAAACTTTCTCTACCTGTATCTGTTGACACACATCTGCTCAACCTTCACACAGCTACAGTAACAATGAGGCAAAGCCAGTGCCTAAGGAGGAATTTGAGGGTATTGTGCAATGTTAACATGGTAGAGTTTTCTCCCTGATTAGATACTCCATATGTTAATGGGAAAAAGAACTTGATTCTCTGAGGTCTTACAGCTATTAATAACGAAGCTGCATGAAGATCCCACTGGGCAGCAGAGAGAAACGGGGACAATCTTACCTATGTCACTTAATTCCTGGGTAATCACCACATGGTCATAAACATCTTTGAGTTTGTTTGCCCACCTGCATAAATGACAACATAAAACCCCTAAACCTCTAGCCATATTATGAAAACTAAAAAGAACAATAGGTATAAAAGAGCCTGGTACTATACCTGGAATCTAATAATGCTATAATGCTTTGAGTATATTAGCCTGAATGTCATAGGTCTTGCTTGTGTGTGTGTGTGTGTGTGTGTTCTCTCTCTCTCTCTCTCTCTCTCTCTCTCTCTCTCTCTCTCTCTCTCTCTCCTTTCTTTATTTTCCTGGATTAAATCCAGTGCTAGCCAAGCTCTTTACACTGAGCTAGATCTCTAGCCTAATCTGAGATTTCTATATTTGATTGCCTATTGGCTCATCTTATTTTCTCTTAAATTAAATGCAAAAACTGTTTGCATTGTGATAATTCTTTACTGGTAGATTGCAAACTTTACTGTACATAAATATCCCTAGAGATATTATTTAAAAATGCAGATTCTCTAAGCTCTACTTACAGAGATTCTGACACAAAAAAATTACGGTGAGGTGCATTTTTAGTAAGTATGCTCAGGAAAACACATTTTGAACATTGCATGTGCTTGCTCTCTGCTCGCTCTCTCTCTCTCTTTCTCTCCAAGAAAGCCAATACAAGTGAGTTGTTATTTCATAGGCCTGGAAAATCAGTCTTCAGCCCATCTTCACTTGTTACAATATTACTACAGAAATAATATTCTTGGAGAATGTGCCCATTAAACCACATGACTAAGTTGCCTTCTAAATTATGAGATGAATATCTCTGTTCATGATGATCATTCTGTTATCCTGCAATTCTTGATATTTGTATCACTCAGAACCCTGCAATTTTAGCTTGCACTTTATCCTTCATGAATACTTGTCTTCTTAACAAAAGTGTAAGCTGTTCTGAGGGCAGAAACTGTAACTTCAACTCCATCTGAATCCCTACAATACCACCTTTTTGTACATAGTCATTCAATAAAGATAAACATGAACATACTGAAATTTGTGAGTATCCCCTAAATGTTATTCCTAAAAGCCACCAGGTATTTTGGGGGTGGCCATGAAGTTACTAGATCCCTTTGTTAGTACTGAGAGCTACTATGACCCCTTTACTGTCATCTAAGCTCTGAATATTGCCTTGGAATTATGGGGTTCCTGTCATCAGTATAATGGAAATCCAAAGTTGAGTCCAGACCTATCTTTATTTGTATGTATCTCTAACCAATGAAGGAAAGAGAGAAAATATTCTGTAGCCATTGCTGGTCCTTGTTTTCTTTGCTCCTAGTAGGTACAGCATAGTAGACAGATGTTATAGTTTGGATATGAGGTGTCTCCCAAAAGTTCCTGTTAATGCAAAAATATTCAAAGGTGAAATGATTGGATTATGAAACTGTAACTTAAGCAGTCCATCCTCGTTTGAATGAACTGAATGACTGGATAGTAACTGTAGGCAGGTGGGGCATGGTTGGAGGACGTGGGTCACTAGGGGCATACTCTGAAAGGGTGCATCTTCCCAGTGGCCCTTTACCTTTCTCTCTCTCCCTCTTTTCCTCCCTCCCCACTTTCTCTCTCTCTTTCCTGATTCCACCATGAGCTGAGTAGCTTTCCTCTCCTGAGCCCTCCCTCCATGATATGCTGCCTCACCTTGGGCCCAGAGCAATAGGGTCAGCTATCTATGGACTGTGACCACTGAAACCATGAGCCCTAAATTAACCTTGTCTTCTCTAAGTTGTTCTTGTCAGGTGTTTTGGCTATGGCAATGAAAAGTTAGCTAAAACATTGGCAAGCAGACACATACCTGTATTTCTAATACATTAAAAAAATCACCAAAAAGCATGTTTCTTTTGTTTGTTTTGTTTTTGTTTGTGTTTTTTATTTGTTTTAATTAGTTATACATGACAGTAGAATGCACTTATATACTTTGATATATCATACATAGATGGGATATAATTTCTCATTTTTCTAAGTATACATACTGTGGAATCACATTGTTCATACAGTCACATACATATATAAAGTAATAATGTCTGTTTCATTCTACTATCTTCTTTATCCACACATCCCCTGGCTTCCCCTCCTTTCACTTCCCTCTACCTAATCTAAGGTAACACTATTCTTTTTTTTTTTTTTGCATTACAATTCTTAATACACATATATACCACAATTTTTGTGTCTCTGTATATAAAGTATGTTGACACCCAATTCAAGTCTTCATACATGTACTTTCTATAATGATGTCCATCACATTCCACCAGCCTTGCTAATCCCCTGCCCCCTCCCTTTCTCTCCCACCCCTCTTTTCTATCTAGAATTCATCTATTCCTCCCAAGCTCTCCCTCCCAATCCCACTATGAGTATCCCACTATGAGTCAACTTCCTTATATCACATCAATGTTTATAGCAGCACAATTCACGATAGCTAAGTTGTGGAACCAACCTAGATGTCCTTCAGTGGATGAATGGATAAAAAAAATTGTAGTATATATACACAATGGAATTTTACTGGGCATTAAAAAAGAACAAAACCATGGCATTTGCAGGTACATGGATGGCGTTGGAGGAGATAATGTTAAGTGAAGTCAGCCAATCCCAAAAAGCCTGTTTCAATGTTACTTAAAATTCAAAGTAAAATAAGAAGAGTATATCTAATGTAGTATATTATTTCACCCACTTATGACCAGTGGAGTACATGCTGGGTGTTGCAATAGGAGAATAAGCACAACCTAAGGACACTGGGGGGCAAGTCTCTACTCCTTTCTCATGGCTTCAGTGTGTCTACATTCTCTCACCAATAAAATCCCAAGAACCCTCCATATCAATTGCCACCACTTCCTATAATATAATATTATGAGCAGAAAATTCATGTATTTTCTTGGCCTCTGTTCAAAATGACTAGTTACTTAACAGCTTCAATGGGTTTCTTAGAAAATTGTCTTTCCAAGTAAGTTTCTCAGCACAGGAATGAATCTTTGAGAAAAGGTCTTATTTATAAAATTAAAAGTTGCCTTCTGTTTAGCCTTGGAGACTTTCAAAGGAAAAGACTTGTTTGAGTCCATGTCACAAGAAGAGTTAAAAGCACAATAAAACAGAGCTGCTCTACATCTCATAGTGGAGTCCCTTTTTTTGTTGTTGTTTTTGATACCGGGGATTGAACTCGGGGGTATTTGACCACTAAGCCACATCCCCAGCTCTATTTTTTGTATTTTATTAGAGACAGGATCTCACTGAGTTGCTTAGCATCTCGCAGTTGCTGAGGCCAGCTCTGAACTCAAAATCCTCCTGTCTCAGCCTCTCAAGCCACTGCGCTCGGCTCACAGTGGAGACATGAAACAGACAAATAAGTTCCCTGAGAGCATCAATCAAGTTGAGTACTTCTGTTCTTTTTTACTAAACACTGAGACAATGATTGGAATAATGAGAAACAATGCTGAAAAAAACAATAGAAAATTGCTTGCTTTCTCCCCCTTTCTACTACGGCTTCCAAATGATAGCTATAACTCAGTAAAAGATCATAGAGGCTGGCATTTATGCTCAATGCCACTTCCTACAAGGCTTCTATTTACTAAATTCCTCCTAAATGAATATCTAGCTGAGGGGAGTAAATTGTATGTGAACATCCCTATCAATAGCAAGCTAAAATATATTGGCATGATATCAAATAAATAGAGTAGATAAATATATTAGTCTGGCACAGGATTGCTCATGGTGAGCTGTTTTATAGGTTTGTGGCAAAGGAATAGAAGATGTATTACAAATAAATGCGCTGTACTTAATGTTATTGTCTCATGTGAGAAGACTCAATCTTGCTAGACCAAATAAGAATTTCAGGAAAGGATTTGAGCCTTGCTCCTAAGTTGCTAAATCAGAATGTAGTACTCTTTCTAAGGTTGTAAGATTTCATATCTGAGTTGAAGAAGTTAAAACTAGCTAAAATAAAGAAAGCTGTCTCCAAAAGAACGAATTGGGGAGACTCTGTCGAGAGAGTCATGAAAATGTTTGCTAATGAATAAATTTAAATTCATTACTGAGAACTGAAGCAGTGCAGCATTTGTTAAAATTAGCCTACAACTTTGATTTGGGGAGGAAACTTTGTGCTCTATAAGGGAAGAGTGATCATTTGTGCATTCTTGACATTTTGACTCTTTCTTACATGATATGTTTTCAAAATCTACAATAGAAAGATAACTCTCGTTTCGTTATTAATGTTTCCAGAAAGAAGACCAGACAGAAGGAAAACATTTCTTCCTCAATTAAAAAGGCTTTTAAGCCTTTTTGCTTGAATTTCACTAATGCCTCATTTGGCTAAATCAATCATGTTGTTCTGCTATTCTATTAAAATGTACTTTAATAACAAATGTTTGAAATCCAAAGTGACATTTTTTTTCTAAGACGCATTACTAATAAAGTAACACGCATTTTCATCCTGCGTGAAACAGCTGGACCATGACGAGATCACATTAGCACTAATTAAAATGATATTTTTTGTGCAATTTTTGCTAACCCAGCTTCATTGGACTCAAAAGGATTTTTGAAATCCATAATAAAGGCTATTATGTAATCTTACCATGATTCTCTTGAATCAGGCTACTGTCTAATTTCTCTGTAACGATATTTTCTTAAAACTCTCACTCAATAAAATCAATATTAAGTTTTTACTCTTATAGCTCTTTTTTCAATATATGATCCTCATTTAATTTAAAAAAATTAAAGCTTTAATTTATTTTGCTTGATGAACAAGAAAAATATAATATTAAAGGCAACATTTTGCAATGTTTCTCTTTTTCCTCACTTTACTGGGTCCCTGTTGTTCCCAACGTATAATTTGCAAAACATATTGCTTCAATACTTACAATGAGAGAGGCGGCCCAGCTGTGGGAGGGAGAGGACAACAGCCTCCAATATTACCATAATAATCTGCCTAGAGTCCCATGAGCCCTCTGGTATATACAATTCTCTGTACTGCAGGCCCCAGCTGGAGAACATTCTCTTGACATGTATGCCAACCTTTGCCTGCAGGCAAAATAAAAAAAGGCAGAGAAGTAATCATGAAAATAAAAAATCTTGTCAACGGCATTAGGATGCAGTTCCCATGTTTTTGCTCACGTAGGCAGGCATTGTGCTAACAAAATGATATGAGACTTTAAAAGACTGCAGCTGGTATGTATTTAGATCTTTAAAAAAAAAATGTGCTACGCTAATTCTGCAATCCTAAAATTTGGGTAAAGGAGGCGGGACTATGGGCCGTGATAGTTTAGGTATTACTGTCAATATATATGACAACTTTATTTACCAACTAGCACTTGGAAGATTGCTTATTGTAAGGATTGGACAAAATGGAGCAGTGTGACAGTACTGAGGTTAGTCATGGATGAAACTTTCAAACAAACATTATACCACTTGGCAAATGAATGTAAGAGGAACCTGAGCAGTTGCTGATTGACATACTTTTTAAACAATCACACAAAGTTAATATTGCATCTGCCCCTAAAAACTCAATCTTAAATTAGAGAAGTGATATTCACCTTTAAAATAATAAGGCCAAATGAATGTAAAAAAAAAAATGCTTCTTTAAACAAAACACATGTATAACATGTAAAACTAAAACAAGTTCAGATTGGCTTGTATTTTACTTAAAAACCAATAAAGCACAACAGGATTGGAATATTCAAAATTAATATTAAAAAATTGGACACCATTGTTAAAGCACTGAAAGTTCTCAAACTTCATTTGTTGAAATAAGAGATTACTCTGAAAACAAATTAATTCAAAATAAATCTGCAGTCACACACATTCTAAACACGTTAATTTGGTCAGTATCACACTGGATAAATACTCTAGACAGGTAAGAAGATGCCATTACAAATGTAGGATGTTAGCTTTTCTTGTCAAATTAATTTTTCAGATACTAGACAGACTGGAAGAGGGCAGTATAGTATTATATTATTCTTAAACATGGCCAAAAAGTGTTCAGTTTTACTGTATTCACAAATCTGGTGATGCTAAATCTTTCTACCTTGCAGGTTAAGAGATTTAGACAAGTTGAAGGTCACAGTGTCATGGTGAGTCATGGGTAGATGTTGACTACTTAGATGTTGACTACTTAGATGTTGACAGAATATATAAATAGGATTTGTAATTGTATATTTATGTGACTAATTAATGTCAATTTCTCCCAGCAAATATAAACTACATGAGGTCAGTACCACCTTATTTAGTTTTGTTTAGTAATTTAGGAAATTCTATTCACCATCTCATACCAAGTACAAGGTATTTGCAGAAAGAATGAGTGCATGCATGTAATCATTCATTCATTCAACAAATATTTACTGAGACTCTAGGGATATAGGGATGAGCAAAGCTTGACTTCAAACCATAGGAAAAGACAAATAATAGTACAATAACTAGAATATATGCTGTGTTAGACAATGATAAATTATAAAAAGACAAGTTTAGCTGGGAAAAGGGACAGGAGGATGCAATTTTAGAAAAAGTGACCAGAGAGGTCTCCCTGCAATGAAAATGTGAAATGAACTAGTACTCTCCACTGGGTAACATTGAACAGGCTCCCAGAATGAATCCAATAAAAAGGCAAAGCAAAGACTCAAAATGTTCACCCTTTGAACATATATATAAATAGCTACATCCTCCATGAAATGGTAAGCCCCTCTAAAACAGGAAAAGCCATCCTTTTTGGTTATTATCTCTGGCACATGGCATAGTATCTTAAACACACTAGATGCTCCACCTATTATGTTGAATTGACTCAGATAAATATTAGGATCAAAAGACAAGATTAGGAAAAAAAAATCTTCTCTCTTCCCTGGGAGCAAAGTAGCCAAGAATGAAAGAGACAACCCAGTACCCTTTGCATGGCTGAAAAGCACAGCAATTAGGTTAGGCATACACCATCTGGCAGCATCTGGCTTGATATTTCCTAAACTTCTCATTCCTGGAGATGACCACTTTTGATCCTATGAGAAAACAAGGCAAGTTTCTAGAGACAACTGCTCATGCAAACCATTTATTATAAGTAGAGAAATTTAACCAAAGCCTTTGCCTTACTAAATGGAGACTTGTGCTGGATCATTTTCATCTAAGAAAGCAAACAAATACCATTCTTCTGAAAGTGATCTTGAAGGAAACTCAAGGCCCTTTGGTCTGCATCTTTAATTTTTGGAGTGGGCCACCCACCAATAGCAATTCCGATGTGGCACTTATGTAGACACGGCCTGGAGAGGTGAAACCCTGCACCCTGCAGCATCATGCTGCGTGAGTCAAAGGGACACAGCATATTTCACAGAACCAGGAAAATGTGTCACTAGAGACAGGATGGGGGCTCTGTAGGGGAAAAAAGCAAGTAACAATAAGAAACAGAAGCAAAGCACTGGCATCAAAAGTGGTTGACCCAAGTACTGTCTAAAGTTGTAGAAGAATGTAAAGAAAGCAAAGCAAAAAAACAAAACAAAAAAACCCAAAAAAACAAAAAAACAGCACAATGGGAGAAAGTTGTAGTCTCATGTTCTGCCTTCACCTCCAGCTGAATGCAAGGGCTCTTCTCACCCCAAAACTATTCCATGTACTCTCATTGTCTCCTCTCCTGTCTGGTACAATTGAAGGTCCTGGCATTCTCCAATGCTTCAAAGGCCTATACCATTGAATCCCTGGATCCTGCAAATGTAAGAAGGAAATGAAAAATACAAGCACTCATCCAACATTTCTTGCTGGAAACAAAGTCATCAATTACCTTGAGCATCAACCTGGATCTTTGTTACATTCCAATGCTCACATTTCTTTTTTTTTTTTTTTAAATCAGCTTTACTGAGGTATAACTGTCAAAAATGGTGGGTATTTGAAGTGACAATTTGATGTTTTGAGATATACATTGTGTACACATTGCGAAATGGCCACCATTTTCTTCTTTGTGTGTGGTGAGAACACTTAGGATCTATATCTTCATAATTTTCAGTACAATACAAAATTAACTACTGTCAATGTTGTACATTAGATCCCCAGAATTTATTCATCCTATGTCACTGAAACTTGGAACCCTTTAACTTTGTAAACTTTAACAAATATCTCCCATTTTCTCCGGCCCCCAAACCCCACCATTCTACTTTTCTGCTTCTATAAGTGTTTTTAAATATTTATTTTTTAGTTATAGGTGGACACAAGATCTTTATTTTATATTTATGTGGGGCTGAGGATCGAACCCAGTGCCTTATACATGCTAGGCGAGCACTCTACTTCTGAGCCACAACCCCAGCCTCTTCTATAAGTTTTACTACTTTAGATTCCACATGTTGAGAACATAAAGTTTTAACTTTCTGTGTCTAACATGCTTCACTTAGCATAATATCATCGAGATTCTTCCATGTAAGCAAATGATAACATAAAATTGAGGCAGAACAATTTTCTATCATATATATACATATATATATATACATATATATATATTTCCATTTATATATGCATTTCTGTTATATATATATTTGTATATACATATCTTAATTATATATATTTCTATGTACATATATATGCATGTACATACATATATATTTGTAACTATACATATTTTCATTATATATATATATTTCCATTATATATTGTTTTAGTTGTTTTTTTTTCACTGCTGTGATCAAAAGACCTGTCACAAACAAAGTAGAGGAGGAAAAGTTTACTTGGCGCTTAAACTTTCAGAGGCCTCCATTGACAAAAGGTCAATTCCATTGGTCTCAGCTTAAGGTAAGGCAGAACATCAAGGTGGAAGGGCATGGCAGAGGAAAACAGCTTAGGACATGACAATCAGAAAGCAGAGAGAGCTGTGCTCACCAGGGACAAAACATATACCTTTGCATGCCTCCTGTGACCCATCTCCTCCAGCTACACCCTACCTGCTTACAGTTATATACACTTAATCCATTCAACTCTATTAATGCACTAATTAGGTTAATGCTCTCATAACCCAATTATTTCACTTCTAAAAACTTTCTTTCATTATCTCATATATGAACTTTTGAGGGACACTTCATATCTAAACCATAATGTATATACATACATCTGTATGTGTATATATAAATGTGCATATCTTCCACATTTTCTTTCACCATTTACCAGTTGATGGACTTTGAGTTTGTTATTAATATGAAAAATGCTGCAATAAACAGTGGCAAATGCTCACATTTTAACAGGGGCTGAAAAAAAAAACTTACATCAGACAATGAATAAAAGACACAATGATAATTGTTAAACA